ACTTAATTCTTGCATTCTGTGAAAACGGGTAAGTTTGGCTATAATGTAATTATCTTAATCTTCACTATCGTTACTTTTTGCCCACAAATAAAAACCCAGCGAAGTGGGTCCTTGCAGCTAGTATATATATATACACAATGCACACAAACTTTTTCAAAAAGCAACTTCTTCTAAAATAAAACTTACAAAGTTTATAGAAGCATTTGTCAGCGTGTTGATTGGAGAAGAAATTCAACCGGTTTAAAAAAAAAATTAGATTGCAAAGCTTCATTATTTACAGAGTATCCCACCTTCCATAAAAAAAAAAAAAAAAAACAGCATCTGACAAAGCCATGTCGAATTTGTACCAAAGCTAAAAAGAAAAGCCGAGAAATGCATTATTTCTGTCCAATCTGTCCAGAGAAGCCAGCCCTTTGCATGGAAGATTGTTTTAAAAATTATCACAAACAATAAAAATATGCTTTTGCCTTTGATTTTGAATAAACTTTTTATGATTATATTTTCTGTTCATTTATTAATAAATGTTCTGTTCATGTATTATTTTTCTGTTCATTATTGATTTTTTGTTCTTGCCCCTGAGGCTATCTATTCATATTTATACTGATATACTACAAATTTCATCATAGCCACACAAATATGGCAAGTAAAAAAAACTATGAGATAATTCATAGGTGGCATCCTAGGTAATAATGCAAATTATGAGTTGTCTCGTAGTTTAGTTGGCAGTCAACGTGTTAATGTTATGATTCTTTTTAATAATTTTCTACCTTTAGTTTATGTTTTACTGATTTTATGGTTTCTATACCTTGTCAAACATTTTATCATAATTTCGATTTGTTCCATTACTGATAAATCGGTTCCCATTGTTTATAAAACTATAAATAACTTTAACACATATATAGTCTCGGATTGAGTCCTCATATCGTCATACAAGAACTCGATCTGAGACTAGAACAATTACACCTCACATCCCAAATCTTCATTAGCACATTCATATATTATTAAGCTCAACAGTTTTTATTTTAAAACCCCAAATTTTTATTGGAAGCCTGATATATAAAAATCTAATCAACAATTTGAGGTGATTATACAACATTATCTAAGTTAGAAGTATTTGAATGTAACTGCAGAGTTTGTAGCAATTGGTGAAACAGCCTAGGCATGCATAGCGAAAAAACAAACATCCTCATTTATATGTAGGGGAAGGTGGTGCAAGATGGGGCCATGGGGTAAGACGGGGACGTCTGTTTATCCGTGGTTAACGCGCTTTCATCTAACTGTTATTTGCAGAACTAAATGTCANATTTATATATATATAAATTATATATAAATTAACAGCCTCATTTATATGTATATATATAAATTAATAAATTTTTGTTATTTAATTTGAGTTAAGTACTTTTAAATATGAATTATTGGATGTCATTTATATTATGTGAATGTCAATTAATCAAGTTTTTATTAATTAATTTAATTTTAATTTAATTGTAGTGCATACCAAAAACTGGTAGTAGTATCTTGCCTGCATTTGCATTGAAATCTAACTCAAATAACATCATCATTGATGCTTTGTGTTGTGATGTCTAATGACGTAAGGGGAATCTCAGTGCCACTACTGAATCAGTAGTCCTGTTTTTGATTGGTCAGGCCATCGACTTTCTTTAACATAGAAAGTATAGGAAGTCACTATCGATGGCCAGCTCAGCCAATTAGCTTGTTTGGAAACCAAGTTATCATACAGCAACCAGAGCAAATATGGAATGTATCAACTTTCAAACATTTTCAGAATCCACCTGATTCCAGCTTCAGATTCAAAGAGTTCATTTTGAATAAAATGCACATGTAGAATTCAAATTTGAACAGGCCAGTAAAAGACATGTGCTGAGCCATATCACATCACCCAGGATATAATGATGTTCATACCATGCTCTGGATAGCTGTATCTGATATCTAGAGTTGGACTATAATTGGAGTTCCAGGTGGCTTTAAATATTTCAATGGACTATAAGAGTCTGATGCGATTCTAATTTGTAGAGGATCTGATGAGCTGGGCCTGATTTAATTTAGAAGACCATTTTCGTTTCAGAAGACCATATAGAGGCTAATTATAGAGGCTGTCCTCAGAGAACTAAAAATAAAAATTATAAAATAACTTAAGGAAATCATTTAAGAATTAAATTTCCTCATTTTATAACTTATAAATCACCATTTAAAGTATTATCATCATACAGTAGATTAAACAAAAATCCGACAAAAACAAAAAAAATTTAATTTGACCAAATAATTTTACTGTTATCAAAATTAAAACTGATAGAAAGTGCCTCTGCACAAAGGCCTAAGATGTTTGTTGGCTGAAAACATACCAAAAAGCATGTTGTTCAAAGGTGGAGTAATATCTGTATTGAATTTAACAGACATTCTATTTCCATATAGTTCATTAGAGTAAGAATTTACTTGATGACAACTATGGTCATATCAAGACATGCAAATAAAATTTTTAATAATGAAAATCCCCCAAATATTTAATTGATGTAAAGGCTCTTAATTAAGTAATAATCAATTATAATGTATATAAATAACATCAACTCATAGCCCGAGTAGTAAATACATCACCAAACGATCGCCTAAATATCGGGCTATAATACGGCTAATTAAATGATTGGAATAAAGTAATTTGACACTTGAGGTAGACGTTAGGCGCCATCTCTTAAATAAATTAATAATTAAAATTAAATAAATAAATTTAGAACCTTCTGGAATAAAAGAACTGGCCCGGGGCGGGACTCGAACCCGCAGCCTCCGCTTGCCGTGCGGCGCGCTTACCAGTTACGCTACCCAGACCCTCGAGCTAGTCTTCGCTTCCAGAAGTATATTAGATTTAGATATAACCTTACTTGGTTAAATACATCACTGACTGGGGACGACTCCTTCGCCCACGGCCATAGCGGCACTCAGCCAGCTAACGCAACACCCGGCGAGGTATATATATATATAAACATCAACAACTCATAGCCCGAGTAGTAAATACATCACCAAACGATCGCCTAAATATCGGGCTATAATA